GGAGGGGAGGGGAGGGGAGGGGAAAATTTTAATTAAATATGTTTGGTTCAAATTTTAGGAGGGAAGGGGAGGGGAGGGGAGGGGAGCAAAATCCCTCCAAAACACACTTTTTGGTTCCCTCCGAATTGGGGGGATTTGGAGGGGAGGGGAGGGAATATGAGTTTTGATATTTAAAAATCATTATATTTACTAAAATATCCTTAGTTTAATTTTATTATTTCAAAACTATTTGTTATCTTTTGTGTTACTGTTTTTTCTCGATTGTTTTCATCAACTTATTATAATTGTTCTCCACCTTCAAATTATTTTATAATTTTTATAATTAATATAAATCATAATCATTGTCTTTTTTTTATAAAAAAATTATGTTTCGTTATATTCGTTTTTTTCTTTTAATTTTGTTATGTACTCTATCATATTTTCTTTTATATCAAATTGTAAACCATATCATTTTATTTATTTTTGTTTATTCATTTTATTAAATATTTTGAACCATTAATATTTAGTAATAAGTTATTTTATATATTTATTTTGTTATATGATTCATCAAAATTTAAACGATGTTATTGGCATATAGTTTAATTTATGTTGGAAAGTTATAAGTCGAATCGATTGTACTCAATTTTTTAACTTTATGTGACAGATAAATATTTTTTTAATCACTCAATATTAGAAATTTTATTACCAATAAAAATACGCACAAATTTTTTACATTTTAATATCATATGACTTATATAAGATCATAAGGCTAAAAATGTAAATTATTAATAAAACCCCTCCCCTCCCCTTCTGAACCAAACACATTTTTAATTAAAATCCCTCCCCTCCCCTCCCCTCCTCTCTTTTGAACCAAACACTTATTTTATTAAAAACTTCCTTCACCTCCCCTCCCCTCCCCTCCCCTTCATTAAAATCCCTCCCCTCCCCTCCCCCTCATTTGAACCAAACAGATGGTAAGATATCAAATTGTCAAAAATGAGTTGAAATTTAAGAGATCCTTGAGAAAAGGGGTTACAGTAAAAAAAATCATCAATGGAAGAAGTAGCATAAGGACTATGGGGTTTATCAAACTATCATGAAAATCACGGCGAAATCGTAAAATCCATAACATGTCTAGAAGCAATTTACCAAAGCGAGGTTTCGTTTTCCCCAATTGTCAAAGTCAAAACCCGTCTTCGAATCACTTCAATCCTTCTTCATCATTCTCACAACGCTAATCACCCTAAATCTCACCTCGAACGTGCCGTTAGTATCTTCTCAATCCCTCAATTTCGTTCGATTAACTTATTTTTAATTGATTTTTCATTGTTGTTGATGTTGTTGTTGTAGCAATTGCTTTTGAAGTCTATACCTAGATGTTTTGAATTAAAGTGTAGAGCTTATAGTTTGTTGGGTCAGTGTTATCAACTTCTTGGAGCTATTCAACCTCAGAAACAAGTGTTGTTTAAAGGTCTTGAGCTTGCTGCTTCTGCGGGGCATGAGTATGCTTCTAAGTCTTTGCTTTTAAATTTTATTATTTTTTGGATTTAGGAATTCATGTTTTAAATTGTGGTTTTGTGGAGTGTAGAATTGTTGCCAAATATAGTGTGACTAATATGGTTTAAATTGCGGTCAAATTGGGGCATGGTTTTTAAAACTTCGAATGAAATGTGTTCTTTGGTCAATAATAGAGTTTTCAGTAAATATTCGTAACCAAGATTTGGCTATGATATGTAGTTGCAGTTAATATCAAGAAATAAGATGGGATCACGGTTTAAAACCTTTGTTGAAGACGCCTTTATAAATCTATATAATTATGATTTGCTTGTTTCTTTGGATAATGTTCACTTAGAATAGGGATGCAAACTATCCTCCTCCAAGTCTAAAAAACTTATTACAAGTAGTTCCTTCCTATTGTTTTATAGGAGTCCCCTCTCTCTCTCGGCCTAACTCATCCTTACAAAACCCATTTATAAACACAGCACATGCCATATCTCTAAGCAACATGGGACTAAATCCACCCAATATGGGACTAAATCCACCCCTTCAAAGCTAACACAATGAAGGTGTTAGGGGCTGCAATGAGGCAAGCCAAAGTGCCGCAATTAAGGCGAAAAGCCTCAATGATCCCAAAGCTAATTGTTATGTTTTTAACCTAATTTGGTAGAATGTTTTGTAGAAAACTGTGTTATTCATTGAAAATTAGCGAATGGCAAAGATTTAATCTTGATTATCTTGTATGTTTTATCATAATCTGACTATTGTTCACAAGGGGAACGAAAACTGGTGTATCCTTTTTGAAAGAAAAATCCTAGAATCAGTCGGTTGAAAACATATTCAAGATTGAAAGGGAGCTTTAACGCATGTGGATGGAATCGTTACCTTTTGACTAATACATAAGTTTTAGGCTGTGGGGATGCAGTTAAGGATTGAACTTAGATGTTTTGGAAAACTGTAGACATATGTGGTTGTTGCGAAGAGGCTCCAAAAATCGTGACATTGTGTTTGCAGTTGTTGTTGCTGCAATACAGACAATTATTGAAGACCTTTATTATTAGATCACAAGTTGAAGATGGAAGTTCACTCAGATGGAAATCCAGCTTACCCGCTAGAGAACAACAATGGGTGTAACTCTTATTTAGGTGCTGCTTATAGTGTGCGTTGGAACTTGGAAGTGATTTCCCTCGAGATACTATTTTGGTCTTCCGTTATGATCTGTCTGCAAATGCAATGCTTTGGTTGAAATCGTTCTACCTTTCCTTGTGTATCTAACTATTTAAAGTTCTTCATATTAGTTAATGCTAACAAATGTGTTTTTGGTTTTTCAGAAGTTGTTGTGAGCCCCCCTTATGTGTTCCTTACCTTCGTGAAAAGTTTACTTCGCTCTGACTTCCATGTTGCTGCTCAAAACAGTTGGGTTTGCAAAGGTGGTGCTTATACCAGGGAGATTAGGTATGTTATTTGTACTTGGCTCTTCAATTCATTTTGGTGCTTTGCTTGTAGTTTTTATGGCCACTGGGTTTTGTTGTTCCATATTTGGCAGAACTAGAACCATGTAACAGAACTGTCTGATTCTTTGTTTACTAATAGCGTGGCATAATTTTGAAGTTTCTACCAATTATTTAATGTGTTCTTTCTTTAAACAGTGCTGAGATGCTTGTAAATTTGGATATCCCTTGGGTTATTCTTGGCCACTCCGAGCGAAGGCAGCTTCTAAGTGAAACAAATGAGGTACATAACTTTTAGTTTCCTTTGGCTTATATTGTGCTAGTTGTGTTATAACTTCTACTTTGCATAGTTGTATTTGCTGAAGATTAAATTCTACTATCAAAACTTCCGATTTTCTACTGATTTATGATCTGCTGCAGTTTGTGGGAGACAAAGTTGCATATGCACTCTCACTAGGGAGGAAAGTTATTGCTTTCATTGGGGAGACTCTTGAGCAGCGTGAAGCTGGTACTACTCTTGCTGTTGTTTCTGAGCAAACAAAGGCAATTGCAGGTACTCTTATTTTCACAACCTCTCTTTTTGCAACTTGTTTCTCTACGTGAGACAGAATTCTCGCTAAAAATACTTCTCCAATTGCATCAACAGATTTCCATTAATTGATTTATTTTGTCACATAATAATTTGCTGGCAATAACATTGTTGTTGTCTTTAATTCTAATTGCAGAGAAAGTATCAAACTAGGATAATATTGTTTTGGCCTATGAGCCAGTTTGGGCCATTGGAACAGGAAAGGTTGCAACTCCTGCTCAGGCACAAGAGGTATGCTTACATCGTTGTGCAATGTGAATTTTGTTTACACTGTCCATCAATCATAATCATTAGACTATGTTGATAATCTGTGATAGCTTTGCGTAGTACTGATCCCTAAAATTTTTACTGTCAAATCGTTTTTTCTGCTATCTGGTTGCTCAATCTCTTCTTCTTTTGTTTTTTTGAAGTAACTTGTAGATTGTATTGTCTTGATAATGTTATTAATATTTGGCCTAGGTCCATGCTGCTTTAAGGAAATGGGTTCACGACAACGTGGGTGCTGAAGTTTCCGCCTCTCTAAGAGTCATCTATGGAGGTACTTCCATTTATATATGCGGTTATTTTGATGTCATCAAAGAATATTAATAGTCTTGGTGTGAGTTTGGAGGCATTGTAGCAATTGTTATTTAATTAACTCCATCTAAAACTGTAGGCTCTGTAAATGGAGGAAACAACAAAGAATTGGCATCACAGCCTGACATTGATGGATTTTTGGTTGGTGGTGCTTCCTTGAAGCCGGAGTTCGTTGACATCATCAACTCCGCCACTGTGAAGAAGAACTGAAATTCGTAAGTAGGAATTGATATGCTGCTTTGGAAGCAGCTTCGAAAATTTATGTTTTGTTATTATTCTGTATTTTGTAATCAATGCTTTGAACTTGTGTTTAGTAATCTGAATAAATATGATTTCCTTTTCCCTCATCAGTGGGTGATAATTTGGGTTTTGGTTAAGTTTTAATGCAGAAAGATAGTAGTGTACTGCCATGACATTTGGTCACTAAATAATGTCTGAATGCCTTTGTTTTTGTTGACTGTACTTTTCATCGCCATTTTCTTTAGTGTGTTAGTTAAAGAATAGCTTCTTCCATTCCACATGTTGCTTCTCCCATCGCAGTCTTGGTTGTGAACTGCAGAAGAAGCTTGAGAATTTACACGTTCCACCTACACCAACACTGTAATTACCTTTAATTTATTCATTTTTCAAATTATTGATGGTATTTCCGTGTCGGTGTCCTTCCGTATATATAGTTTATGTTGGTATTTGGCTACAGATGGTGTAGGATCCAAGGTACAAATTATATAGTTTATGGATCATTGTAAGCTTCTGTTTCATGTCATTATTTTCTGTTTTATGTCACTGTCTTCTGTTTTGTTACTATTGCTAATTGTGTTCTTTTCTTTCTTTCTACTCCTAAGGACATGGTTATCCTTCCGTATAAGGACAACCTGTTACTATTTAGTAGATACTTGCAGCAACTAGTCATGGAATCTCTGGGCAATGAATATGACCTGCATGGTAATCGGGTATGTGTGGCACATTTAGCAAATCTATCCCTCATTATTTGTATATTTTGTCCTGCATTTTGGATGAGTTGCTAGATTTTCTTTTAATTTTTAATCAGCTTACAATTGCCTTGTATCAAGACACTGCTGAATGGAGCTTTAAAGCCTACAGTTTTCCAATTGGTTGTTATTGTCTTAATATGGACTCACTTTAAGTTCACCTTCCTGCATTATATGTGGGATATCATTAGCTTTTAATAAACATGTTGATAATGTGTCTAGTCTGTATCTACATCATACGATGGTGGATGTTTCATGATGCTACATGCTATCTCACAACTACTAATACTTTTTAACTTTTAAACATTTCAAACTGTCACGAATGTTATATCCAAGTCTGAATTTTTTATTTCACAGGTTAATCAAGGACTTAGTGTCTATGGAAATAAAGGAATCACAGATCAACATGCGTGAGTTGTTATTCCATTTTTAAGTTTAGTTTATATAATTTTTGGTTTTAACAAATTTGTTAAACTTTTGATCCAAGAACAACTATATTCAGCAACTGAGGGACGGTGTACACAATTTCTTTGCAACATTCATTGAGGTGCCTTCATGGAAGGAGAAAACAAACCTAATGCAGAACTATTTTGAATATCAGGATCCAGACTATGACTGTCCTGTAAAGGGAGTTCCTGGTACGAAATTGCCTGCATAATATTTTGTTTGAGTCATGTGCTTTTATAACTGAAAACTTAAAGGGTGTTTTAGTTAATGATTTTTATTCTAAACATGTTAGATTCTAATGGTGATGGTGATGGCATATCCAATCAAGCAGTAGCTGACAGTTTAGAAGACCGGAAAATGGGAGTAAGTCAGTTTGTGAGAAGATTCTACTAGTTGCAGACTTTCCCACTGTGTTAAGTAGTTGATATGGAGATAGGAATGTTTGCATGAAGAATAGTGATTAGCAGTTGCTTTGATTTTTCACACTTTCTTGTGAAGCAGCCATGAATGCTCTGAAGCTGCTTTAACATGATGAAAGCATTCATGAGTCATGTGCGTACTACAAGACACTAGATTATCAGCTAGCAGAGCCCGAGAGGTTCCGTAATCTGCTTGATATGAATGCTTACTTTGGAGGCTTTGCAGCTGCAATGATTGATGATCCAGTTCAAATCCTCCCTTCAATCACAAGCAATCATAAAACATCTTCAGTTTGATTTCCTCTATTCTGCCATGTAGAAAATGTAAATCTTCGGTTAAAGTAGCATGTATGTGGCTTGATTTTATAGTAACTCTTGTTAAGGATAATAAAGAAGGTTCTTTGAGATTAGGTGAACTTGTTAAATTAAAAATTGCCATTGCTATTTGAATAAAGGTTAGGTTCAAGCCTTACACTAGATTTATATTTTGTTTGTTTTTTAACCATTTGTTGTTTAAAGTGCTCTTATGAAATTACAAAAAGAAGTAAGTATTTTATATTATTATATTTAACAATAATTATAATATTTTAAATATAAATTAAACAAAATTAACAACAAAAATTAAAAACATGAGAGAGAAATTACCTGCAATTATACCTGTGGATTTTTAGTTTGCTGCGACATTTCCTGCGAAAATCTCATTTACCTGCGTTGTTATCAACAAATTTATCTATTTAACCTGTGATTCTTTCCTGTGACATTTTTGTGACATTTTCCTGCGACTTCACCTGCTATATTAATTACCTACGAAGTTTTAGCTGTGAACAAAAAATAGTAGGAAGAATCGCAGGTAACACGTTTTCTACGGAAATTTTGTCAAAATTCGCAGGTAAATCCGCAGGAAAACAGAGTGTTTCTTGTAGTGCTACTCTGCCAAATTCTGATACACCATTATGAGTTTTGGTAAAATTAATTTAATTATTTTAAATTTAAACAAATTTATTCTCCTTTATAATTATGTTTTTGTACTTAAAATTGCACAAGTGTTTATTTTTAAATGATGTGTAATTTATAAAATGTAACAAATTATTATATAAAAATGTTAGTATAATTATAATGATAAAAAAATATAATTTATGAGTTATTAAAAATAGACACATCATTTATTTTATTGTCCAAAAGTATGAGAATGAAATAAAAAAAAATATATTTTTATGAAACCTTAAAAATTAAAAAGATAGTCATGTATAGTTGAAAAACTATAAATGTTTATTTATAAAAATTAAAATTTATGCTTATAAAATTATAAATTTATATTATAAATATCTTCAATAAACTTTATTATCACAGGCAAATAGAAATATAGTATTATAAAAGATGTAATAAAATTAAATGAAGTCTTTTAAAAATAACTTTATTCATTGAAAAATAATAATTTCTTTCTTGAAATTTCTTTCTTTCTTTTGACCAAACATTAATTAAATAAATTAGATTAAACACTACTAGAAATGTTCAGTTTTCCTGCGGATTATGACCAAATTTTCGCAGGAAACACGTTTCCTGCGATTTTTCCTGCGATTTTATGTTTCCAGCTAAAACCTTTGTGGGTAATTCATTTAGCAGGTAAAGTCGCAGGAAAAAGTTGCAGGTAAAAGTCGCACGACAAAGTCGCAGTAATAAGTCGCAGGAACATGTCGCAGGTATAACAGCTAAATTCGCAGGTAAAGTCGCAACAAATTGAGAATCCGCAGGTAAGTTCGAAGGTAAGTTCGCTCACGTTTTTAGCTTTTATTTTTAGTTGTGTTTAATTCATATTTAAAATAGTATAATTAATGTTAAATATCAAAGTAACAATAATATAAAAATAAAAATCTAATTTGAATAAATCAATGCAACACTAATTACATTGAAATTTTTAAAGTCAATAACAAGTACTTCTAGAGTTACATTACTAAAAATGTCGTAATCAAGTTACTAATTATCACTTGTTCAACCAAATTAATAAGAAAAAAAATGCAATTTCAAACTAATTAACAAGAAAAAGTAATCCAAATCAAAATTCACTACTAATGTGTTCACTAATGTCTTCATCTGATTCATCAACATCATCTTCACTTTGATTATCAATTTCATTATTGGCTTGAGGTGGATGAGAAGAAGATGCAGCAAATCCTAAATGATTCATTAACAACGAAAGTTTATTCTTCGTTTCAATCATCTCTTTTTCTTGTCGTTGCAATTGTTGCTTCATCTCCAACTTCTCTTGTTCTTGTCTTTGCAATGGTGCATTGAGAGCATGGACTTGACTTCTCAAATCATCAACCTCTTGAGAGTTACTCGAAAGACTTGGTTAAGTTGATGATGGAACAAGAGTCTTGGCAATGGTTCCAAGACCGAATACCCTCCCTTTCTTCTTTCCAAATGACTCAACCCATATATCCAAATCAGACGGCATTTCAACAGTAGGTTGACTATCAGCTTCATCCTCTCCTGGAACAGTTGAATTTTGAGAAGAAATCATCAACTTTTTCCTTTCAAATTCATCCTGAAAGAAGATTTAAAAAAACATAATAAGTAATTAATATTTTACCAGGCAATTCCAAATTAGTGCTAATCGTCATAATAAAAATTCAACTAAATGAACTAGCAATTCATTCACATAAAATTAACTGGAGAAACTCATAATTGCTCGTTGCTAACATTAACTCTAACCAATTTCCCAACATATTTTTATTTGATTTGATTGTAAATTGCAAAACACAGAGGAAAAAAATGAAGGTATAGTTTACACTTTCTAAGATTCATTCTTTAAGAAATTGATTTGGAGTACTTACATATGCAGATTCAGCGTGAACACCCACCCAACTTTGATCCTTTTTTCGATGAGTGCGAAAATAAAATTCAGTCAATGATGGATCGACACCCTTTTCCTTTTTCTATCAATTACAAAATAATAATGTCATTTATTATAAATACTAATTTATGAAATATAAAGAAAAATTATAATGCCATTCTTTTTCAATGCAAACGATGAGGAATAGATCCTCCAGTGTGAAGAGATGCACCATCCATAGAACAACAATTTCTTTTATTTGTTGCAGATACTTTTTTGAACTTGGAGGAATTCCAATGTACCGTTAGTTTCTTCCACACCTCCTCTCCCATCCATTCCGGCCTATACTCTAAATCTCTCCGAACATCTTGCATTAATTGAGACATCTTAGTTGCACTTCTTTTTTCAAAGTTGCGACGCACTGTAACCTTGTGCTCGGGTGGCCATGTAAACTTTTGCTGTATAAAAAAAACATGAATCAATTACTTAATATTTCAATATGCTTCTAACATGAAGCCCCATCTTTAGATTTAATTACTTTAAATAGATGAAAGAAAGAATCTCGTTGCTCTTTTGATAATTTCTTCCATGACGGTTTTCCCTCATTCAAATGAGTACGTATGATGTGAGCAATTTCTGAAACTACCAATTTATGATGATCAAATCTGAAAAAGAGACATTTAAAAAAAAAACAAATATTACTTAAATGTAGAAAGTAATGTTACATATAAAATATAGTATCTTTTATAGCTATTATATACGAGTAAGAGACTCACCCATCACCTTCGGGAACTATTGGGATTCTAGTTCCAACGGTGTCTCCACTAGCATGGCTAGATGAAGATGGGGCTTCAACGACCATAAATTGAGAAGGGATGGGTCTAGATCGATGTTGTGATTGAGGTTGATTGGGTTGAGAAGGAATGGGTCGAGATTGAGGTTGATTTTGAGATTGAGGTTGATTAGGTTGAGGTTGAGGTTGATTAGGTTGAGGTTGAGGTTGATTGTGTTGAGGTTTATTTAAATATTTTCTTCACATTTATCTAATGTAGTGTAATTTAAAATATATTTTAAATAAATATTTATTTATTACTCGTTTAATTGTTTTGGTCTCTCTCTATTTTACATTATTTATGAAACTAATCGACTTATTTTAATTTCAAACATTTTTATTCTCTCATATTTTTACACTTATAGTTTAATATGTGTTCATTTTAAAATGTCGTTATTTATAAAATGTGACAAATTATGTTATAAGAGTCTTAGTAAAATTTAAAGATAAAAAATAGCCCCATCGTATAATTTGTGAATCATTAAAAATAGCCACATCATCAATTTCTTGCACAATAACGTGAGAATGAAATTGTAGTGTTATATTTGGTAAGACTTAGATCAGGATGCCCTCGCCTAACATATGGCCTATTGTTTGTCAGTGTTTTTGGTAAACAATCACGAGTTTATAAATTTTATGAGATTAACTCGAAAAATCTTTAAACCAATTTGTACAAATGATTTGTGTGAACACACGTGCATGTGAATTAAATGCAATCGTTGGGTGAACGATAACGGCGTATAATTTTTTTAAATGATGTTAAGATATGATAAAGGACAAGATAAATGCAATAAATGACATTAAACAAAGTAAAATTACAAATAAATGTTTCATTCAAGGAAACAAAAAGCTGATGAAAATATTGGATACATATGCATACATGTTTCTCGTTAACTATTTCGTTATTTGACTCGGGTACTCCAATGGTATGGAGATTATGTATGAAAATTTGGGACCTTTGATCCTATTTACAAAGTA